CCGTGCACATGCACAGGAGCACGGGAAAGCACACGTGTTCAGCCCGGGGCAGCCATGTTGGATACCCCCATGGGGTGGCCTGGACGCCTGGCGAAGCCTGGCTCCAGCTCGGAACCACCATGTTGGATACCCCCGTGGGCGGCCTGGACACATTAGACAAAATACTTCGGGTCGGGCGAAAGGGGGGGATAGCAAAGGGGGGGGGTGAGAATCAGCTCACGTAGCTGATTTTCCGGGCGCCTCCCGGCGCCTCCCTGCGCCCATGTATCGAGGAATGGGCCCCTCGGCGAGGCCGAAACCAGCTGTATAAAGCAAATTTCGTAACCCCCCCTTTCCCAATCCCCCCCTTTCGTCCGGCCCGAATACTGCGAGGGCTGCAATCGAGCCAAACTAGCAGAAAGAGTCGCACTTCTGGACCAGATGGAGCCGGAACGCAGTAGTGAGCGCTGCCAGCATATTCCTTGCCACCTGAACACCATAGTGGGTGGCCGGGACACGTGAGAACACGTGGCTCCAGCTCGGGACCACCATGTTAGATACTGTCCTGGGTCGCCTGGGCATGAATACACCGACTGCGAGGGCTGCAATCGAGTCAGAACGCCAAAGACAGCTGCATTTCTGGAGCAGATGGAACCAGAACGCAATAGTGAGCGCTGCCGGAGATTCCAGGCCGCCAGAACATGCTGGAAAAATTATGCACCAAGTCGCCACGTGACAAAATAGTGAGCGCTGCCGGCAGATTCTGGGCTGCAGAAGCCACAATGAGTCGCATTTCTTGTCCAAATCAACCCAAGAAATAATAGCGAGCGCTGCCAGACCGTACCTGGGCCTGGGAGACGCCTCCCCAAGATGCTGCGCGTAGAAAACACTGCGCGGAGAAGGCGGGACATCTTCCGTACAAAATCACGGGGGAGCGGAGAGTGGTTTTCGGGTTGGCAATTTCATAGGAAGAGGAGGAGGAGGAGGAGGAAGAGGAGGAGGAGGAGAAGGAGGAGGAAGAGGAGGAGGAGGAGGAGGAGGAAGAGGAGGAGGAGGAGGGGGGGAGTGAGACCAGCCGCGAAACGAACCCCGATTGAACTAAGAACCGCGGCGAGCGAGCCCAGCCCGACTCCAAACCTTGGGCCGCTTGCCTTCTGAGACTCTGGTGGGATACTCTGCTCGACTGGTGCTCGCAGTCTCTGGGCACTGTTGCCCAAGACCTCTCTGACCACATGGCTACAGTCGGGCTGCTGAAAGAAGGAACGACAAACACGGAACGAAGCCCCTTTTTGGCCCCACAGGCGCCTGCGTGCACGAGAAAGGCTAGAGGAAAAGCCATAGAAGGACCAAAGGAATATCGAGCCCCTTTCTTACCCAAACTGATCCTTACTTCAACGACTTGGCTGTGGCAGAGCACCCGCAGAGGCGAGCAGGCGAGGAGGAAAGGAACACGGCGGGGTGGGGGCGGGATGGGGGACGGCGCCTACTGCCGCGCGGCCGAACGCCGCCCCGGCGAGATGGCCCCCTATCAGGACAGTGGGGGAGCAGGAGGAGGGAGAAAGTGGAGGAGGAGGAGGAGGAATAGGAGGAGGAGGAGGAGGGAGGAGGAGGAGGAGGAGGAAGAGGAGGAGGAGAAGGGAGAAAGTGGAGGAGGATGAGGAGGAGGAGGAAGAGGAGGAGGGAGGAGGAGGAACAGCGTGGCGAACAGGCGCGGACCAGGAGGAGGACGGGGGGCTGCACCGAGCAGGCAGGGACGGAGGGGCGGACGGGGGACGGGCGGCCGGGGCAATCTTCGGCGGCTTGCGGTCGGCGGTCCCAAGAGGCAGCCCAGTCTCGGCGGCTGGATGGGCCGAGGGCCGCTAGATTCCAGAATAGTCGGAGGGGCGTGCCCCCCAAATCCAGCAAAACTGATTGTTTCACGCGCTCGTTGGGCTCGCCCCGCAGCGGACGGCTCGGGTGAATCTCGGGTGATGGACCCTGACAAATATGCCCCCACCTCCCTTCCCCACCGCTGCGCTGCGCCCTGTGCGCACTTGCTTGCACGGCCATGCCGGGCAACTGCGCGACATCCTGCGTGACGAGGGCGGCAAGGGCGAGGATCGGCAGGGCGAGGAGCAGCAGCAACACCAGCAGAGGCAGCATAAGCAGAAGTGGTAGCAGGCGTACGCGCAGGACAAGGACGATGACGACGACGACGACAGCAACAGCAACAGCAACAGCAACAGCAACAGCAACAACAGCAACAACAACAACAACGACGACGACGACGACGCCGACGGGGAGGGGGAGAGCCGGGAGCGAGGAACGGGAAGCGGATCGTGTGCTCGCGTTGGTTGCCAGCGCTCAAGACGATCCTCCAGAGGTTTGGCGCACACTCGATCAAGGTGGCACTTGTAGGTCTTTGCGATAGAAACTTCGTTCTTCTTCGAGGGCATCCCAGAAACGCCACAACATCGATCGTCCATATCATCTCTCAGGGGGTGCCGCGGAGATAGAGGCTTCCCAGATGGGGTCAGAGGAAATGGAGTCGGATAATCGCGCTGCATCGCCGATGCATCGGCGACGTCGGCGTTGCGGAGAGCGTCGGGCTCCGCATCGAGCCGCATCGGCGGTGCATCGGCGATGCGGCGCGATCCTCCAACCTTCTCTTTTCGAACCCCATCTGTGAAGGGGCCCTGAGACACACAAACAAATAGCCACAAATCCCAGGAGTCCATTTTTCTTTATATTTTCTGGATGTTCGTCTTCCCCCCATATTTTCCGGGGGATCGACGATCAATTGTGCCTGTGTGTTTTCCCCTCCTGAATCTGGGAGGCATAGATTTGAAAAGGCAGCTACTCCTGGACAGCCTGAGAACTCAGGAACACTCGACATGTCCTCAATAGATGTGGAAAGGTTAGGTGCTGCGAAGTTGGTGAAACAACATGCCTCCGCGGTATAATCATGCAGCAACCGTTCGCTGACTTAGCGAAGTGGCACGCGGCACGCGCTCCTGTGCGGGAAGGGACCAACTATACACCAACATCGATCCTGGCCAGGATCACCCTGGGCCGGGATCGGTGTTGGTGTATAGTTGGTGCCCCCCGATGTGGGAGGCCTGGAGGAGGCGAGCAGGGAGGGGAACACGGCGGGGGGGCCGAGAGCAGACCCGCACGCGCCGCCTGCCCCGAGGGGACCCCCCGGGCGCTTGCCCCCAGGGAGGCGGGGGCAAGGGTGAGAGAGGAGAACTCCCGCGAGGCCTTCGCGAGAGCGGCCCAGACAGGATCGGATCGAAAAAAAATGCAGGACGCAGTTGTTGCACTATTTTCGGGCCCTGGGGGCCCGCGCCGTGCTTCGGGACCGTCAAAAAAATGACGCAGGATGAAAAACCGGCCCCGGAGAAAGGGTCTGGACTTCCGGGGACGCCGTGCTGAAAAAAACCGGACGTCGCATGTCTGGGGACATGTGGGGCCACCGAACCAGATGCAGGGGTCGGATCGATCCAAGAGGGGGTCCAGCCGAAACGGGGTGGTGCAATAGATCTGGGACAACTGTGTTGCAAACATACTGCCCCGGAAAACTGCATCGCACTGGATTGCAACGAATGCGTTGCACGCGACAACCCAGCAATACATTTGCACACTGGAATGCAGTGCGCGCCCAAATGTATTGCAACCCGACAAATATATGGCACTAGATCTATTGCGCCACCCCCTTGTCGCTGCCCCTCCCGTTTTTGTTTCTATTGCACCCCCCTTTGTTTGTTTCATTGTTTCCCCTTTTTGCTTAGTGGGTTTAATTATGATTGTATTCCTTCCTGCGTCGCGCCCGCATCTCCTCCTCACCCCTCCTCTTGCTTCTCCTTTTTTCACACAGCACAGCGCAGCACAGCGCAGCGCAGCACAGCTCAGCACACAGCATATTGACACACAGCACGTACACAGTACAGCACAGCACAACACTGCTCAGCACAGTTCAGCCCAGCACAGCGCAGCACAGCAGAGCTCATCCCAGCACAGGACAGCTCACCCGCGAAGCTCGCAAAGAGTGGCAGGCGTGGCCTATTCTCGACACCGTAGGGTTGCGCAGGGGGTGGTCTCCCTATCCGCGCAGGTCGTCCAGGGCATAGCACGCGTGGCGATTGCTCGACACCATAGGGGGTGGTCTGCCTATCCGCGCTGGTCGTTCAGGGCATAACAGGCGTGGCACCTTCTCGACACCATTAAGGGTGCACGGGGGGTGGTTTCCATGTCGGCGCCAGTCGTCCAGGGCATAGCAAGGGGTGGTTTTCCTATCCGCACCAGTCGTCTATGGCATAGCAGGCGTGGTTTTGTTCGACAGCATAGGGGGTACGCAAGGAATGGTCTCCCTATCCACGCTGGTCGTCCAGGGCATAGCAGGCGTTGCACTTTCTCGACACCATAAAGGGTGCGCGTGGGGGGGTCTCCCTATCCGCGCAGGTCTTCCAGGGCATAGCAGGCGTGGTTTGTTTCTCGACACCGTAGGGGGTGCGCAAGAAATGGTCTCCCTATTCGCGCCAATCGTCCAGGGCATAGCAAGAGTGGCACCTTCTCGACACGATGGGGGGTTGCGCAGGGGGGGGTCTCCCTATCCGCTCCAGGTGTCCAAGGCATAACAGGAGTGGCACTTTCTCGATCTCATAAGGGGGCGCGCAAAGAGAGGTCTCTCTATCCGCGCCAGTCGTACAGGGCATAGCAGGCGTGGCGCTTTCCAGGGGGTGCGCAGGGGTTGGTCTCTGAGCGCGGCCGCTATCCACGACACTGTCGGAAAGCCTTGCAGGCGTAGCAGCTTGACGTCACCATAGGGGGTGCAAAAGGGGTGGTCTCTGAGCGCGGAGGCAGGGGACACCACAGAGCATGGTGGCAGACGCAGACACAGACGCAGACGCGCGAGTCCGCCGGCCGGCGGGCCGGCAGGCCCCTTAGGGGCGGCGCGGGCGGGCCAGAGCACGGTCACAGGCATTTGAACTTCAAGATGTCGCTCTCGAGCTCCGCCCAAAACTTGGAAGCTGTAGCACTCTGTAGCCATGTGCCGGGTGTGCTTCCAACCGAAGCCTTCTGCAAAAATTCTGTGATGTCGTCGCTCCACCGCTTTCGCTGTCCGCCGTGTCGGCGTCGTGCTGCAAGGGGGTCATGGGTACCATGCCGCCGCCAGTCGGGCCCAGCTGCGGTGTGCTTGTGTAGCAACTCGCCCAATCCAACTCCACTTACGCTTTTGAAAAATTGTAACCCATATCTCCACATGTGCGCGCGTCGCAAGGTCTGAGGCGGTGTGGGTAGCCCTGCATATGAAATGGTCCCAGGATTCAATGTCGGATTCGTCGTCGACGTAGTCGAAGTCTAGTTGCTGCCTGACGCTGGACTTGCTGTCGTCACATGTGCTGTCGTCATGCTGTTCAATGTCGGGGTTGGTTTTGTTTTCGTCGGTGCCGGCGTGGGGTTGTCTCTGTCGGCGTCTCGAGGTATCAACAATGAGTCGTAACATGCGTCGTTGTGTGCCTCGGAGTGTCAGGAGCATGTTTTTGGTGAGAACCCACGTTGCGCAGCAATGCAGGACCGTTGGCGCCACCGTCCCGCTGAAGAGCCTGAGTCTGCTGCGAAGGGGGTACCGGCTGTTTGTGAGCTCGTTGCGGAACTGGTTGAATTTGCGCCACCCCATTGCAAGTCTGTTGGTGAGCTCGGTCTGGTGGAAGTAGTACAACGTCAGCTTGCGACCCAGGTATATGGTGCTCTCCTCGGCGCTGAGGATTTCGACCTTGTCGTCGTCGATGTCCACTTGTGGAATGCATCGGCCCTGTCGCCTGCTAATATTTGTGAGGGTTTTCGTCTTGTCCGGGTGTGATGCAAGTCCACACTTCGCAGCTTCGTGTTTGAAGTGTGCACGATGCGTAGGCGATTGACTGCGTGGTTGTTTAGTAGAATTGGGGTGTGGGGGGTTTAAGGTCGTTCAGCAAAAGCTCAGGTTGTCAGGCGGGGTCGTCTGTGCATCTACCTTTCCCCAATTGTATGCCCGAAAGCCCTTTCGTGGTCCAATTTGTTTTTCCCCATATCCTAAGAGGGGGTTCTTGTTATTACTTGGGGACGCCTCTAATCCCTCTCCCCCTCTCCCTTTTCCTCCTCCCCTCCTTCCTCTTTCCGAATCAGACCTTTTACTCATACACAGGGACTTACTCATACTCAGAACCTACTTCATAAATCAGACTTACTCATACTCAGACTTACTCATACTCAGAACTTTCTCATACACAGACCTACTCATACCCAGACTTACTCATACACATACTTACTCATACACAGACTTACTCATACTCAGGCATACTCATACTCAGACCTACTCATACTCAGACTTACTCAACACACATCAGATTTGGAGGATGTCTCACGCGGGGCGCTGGTTTCAGCACCCCTAAGGGGAGCCGCCAGGGGTGGTTGCACGGGCTCGTTCGCGGCCATGTTGTGGGGATGTCTCAGGCGGTTTGCTTGTTTCTGGGCTCAACATCCTTCGCTTGGAGAGCAGATTGTGAGGATGTCTCAGGAGGGGCGCTGGTTTCAGCACCCCTAAGGGGAGCCGCCAGGGGTGTTTGCACGGGCTCGTTCGCGGCCATTTTGTGGGGATGTCTCAGGCGGTTTGCTTGCTTCTGGGCTCAACATCCTTCGCTTTCGGAGCAGATGTGGAGGATGTCTCGAGCGAGGCGCTCATTTTCACCCCCCAGGTGGGCCAGATTTTGAGGATGCCTCGATCGGTTTGCTTGTTTTGGTGGCCAGGCTCGTGGCCCTAAGGGGAGCCGCCAGGGGTGGTTGCACGGGCTCGTTCGCGGCCATTTTGTGGGGATGTCTCAGGCGGTTTGCTTGTTTCTGGGCCCAACATCTGTCGCTTTCGGAGCAGATTTGGAGGATGTTTCGAGCGAGGCGCTCACTTTCACCCTCCAGGTGGGCCAGATTTTGAGGATGTCTCGATCGGTTTGCTTGTTTTGGTGGCCAGGCTCGTGGCCTTAAGGGGAGCCGCCAGGGGTGTTTGCACGGGCTCGTTCGCGGCCATTTTGTGGGGATGTCTCAGGCGGTTTGCTTGTTTCTGGGCCCAACATCCTTCGCTTTCGGAGCAGATTTGGAGGATGTCTCGAGCGAGGCGCTCATTTTCACCCCCCCAGGTGGGCCAGATTTTGAGGATGTCTCGATCGGTTTGCTTGTTTTGGTGGCCAGGCTCGTGGGCGCAGATTCTTCTCAGGATGCCACAGGAGGCTCCAACAGGCTCCAGGAGGCCCCAGGAGACCACATGAGGTCCCAGGAGGCATCAGGAGGCCACAGAAAGACTCAAGAGGCCACAGGATGTCCCAAGAGGCTCCAGGAGGCCCCAGGAAGCTCCAGAAGGCCTCAGGAAACCACAGGAGGCCCCAGGAGGCAACAGGAAGCGCAAGGAGGCCTCGGAAGGCAACAGGAGGCCCCGAGAGGCCCCAGGAGCAGGAGGCCTCAGAAGGCAACAGGAGTGGCTCCAATCCCATGTGTTTTACGTATGCTCCTATCGATTGGGCCTCACCTGGAGCACGATTCTGTGATGTTCTACGTATGTTTCTATAGATGGTCCTTCTCCTGTGTACACAATCCTAAATGTTTTACTCATGTTCCTATATATTGGGCCTCTCCTGGGGCACGAGTCCTTGGTGTTTTACGCGTGTTCCTATAGATTGCCCTTCTCCTGCGGCTCTAATCCGCAATGTTTTATGCACGTCTGTTGCTATAGATTGCGCCTCTCCTGGGGCACGAAACCTTCCTAGGAGGTCCCAGGAGGTCCCAAGAGGTTCCTGGAGACCCCAGGAAGCCCCAGTAGGTTTCAGGAGGCCCCAGGAGGCCCCAGGCTCATGCACAGAGACGCGCTTGTACTACTGAGGCTCATTCCCACTCCAATTCATTCGCAGTTAGATTGATGTCCAGACCGTCACAACTGAAGCCCGTTAATATTCGAAAGCTCTTGCGCCTAGACATTCACGGCGGACAGGTCCATGCGAGTAGATGCGCATATGGGGAGCTCCACGCAGTGAATAATGTTCCGGACTATGTGCTCGAGTAGCGCGGTGAACTAATATGAGCTGAGTGGGTCCCCCTTGCTTGACGCCAAGCTCGATGTTGAATTGTCTGCTTCTGACATCGGTCTTTACAGAGGCTCTTTGGTCGTTGCACAAAATTTGCACAAAGTGGTGCAGGGTTCCGGCACATCTTGTTTCCTCAGGTCTTCCCACATGCACGGGTGGTGGACGCAATCGAAAACCTTCTTGAAATCGATAGCAGCTGTCCAAAAGTCGGAGCTGCCATTCGTAGGACTGCTCGTAAAGCAAAGTTGAAGTGAAGAGCTGGTCCTCTGTGCTAAGGCCCTTGCAGAAGCCAGCTTGGTCAGGTCATTGTTGTGCGTCGTGTGTCAAGTCGGTTGCAAAGTAGTCGAGGCATGCGTTTGTATAGTAGCGGTATGATGGCGATTGGTCTGTAGATGCTTGGTAGCTGCGGGTCTCCAGACTTTTAGATTACGCTGGTGGTGCTGTGTCTCCACTGTTCGGGCGGCGTCTGCTCAGATGTTACAGTGTCGTTGAAGAGCACCAGCATCTGCTTCTCAATCGAGTCCCCCCCTGCTTTCAACAGCTCCGCGGTGAGCCCAGCCATGTCCTTGCACTTGCAATGTTTGAGGTGCTTCACTGCTTGGTGCAACTTCTCGTGGGTGAAGGGTGGAATGTTCTGTCGAGGTCGCCGTGCTTCTTTTTCTTGGGCGTCAGGGGTGTTGGTGGGCGTAGGTAAGGGTGTGCGTTCAGGGCACAAGTATAACTCCTCATAGAAGTCCACGAAGACGTCTGCTATCCCCTGCCCGTCCGTCTCGTTGGGGCCCTTTGCTCTTGTCATGGCCGGTATGAGGTCCTTCTTATTGCTGGACTTGATCCCAGAGATCCTGTTCAGGCCGCGGAAAGTAACGATGATGTCGTTCGATATTGTCTGCCGTTGAGCCCTTTTGATGTCCCAGTGTGCACGTAGAATGCGTTTGCTAAGAGCTGTTCTGGTGGCTGTGTCGGTGTGCGGTGTGTTTCTGCGATGCGTAATAAGTGCGTGCAGTCGTTGCTTTGCCACGTCGTCGCTGCTAGCTGTGTTTTGTGAATGTTGTTGCTGTTGGTATTGTTGTTGCTGGTAGTCTCTCTGAGCTGCTACAAGTGCTCGATTTGTGCAGCAATGTCTCGTGTGCCCTTTGACGGGTTGTTGGTAGTGAGGTGTCTCGTCAAATGGTGTTGGAAGTCGGGGTCGTTTGGTCGGGGAGGTTTTTGGTGTTTGTGAATATGTCGTCGTTTCCGTCGCCGTGTTCGGGGTGTCACGTCGTCCAGTGCTAGTCGGAGGTGCACGGCTTGGTGGTCGGAGCCGAGAATGAATCAAGTACCACATGCTGGGCCCGCTGATCCATGAGAATACAGTCGATCTGCGTTTGCTTGTGATTGGTGCCAGCGCTCGTGTACGTGAAGACGTTGTCGAAACGCTTGCAAAACATCGTGTTTGTGATGGAAGATCAATACACTTGCAAAACCAACAAGATAGCAGAAAGTAGGCAAAACATCGGTTCCTGATTATTGTCTGACTACTTTGGGATCCTCCTCCTGTAGAGGGACAGGCCCGACTTAAGCCTCCTCAATCGCTGCGTGGACACCCGAAGGTCTAGGCCACTGCCCCAAGCCCGCTCTTCGTCCCGAGGCCTTCTTGGACGGTCCCCCGGCCCGGCGAGGCGCCCCCTGCAGGAGGCCGAACACGGCCACAACAAAAGCCCGCGGGCAAGCGTTTTCTTTTTCGGCGTCTCGGCATCGGGCGGAAGGGGGAGGAGGAAGGAGGAGGAAGGAAGGGGAGGAGGAGGAGGAGGAGGAGGAGGAGGAGGAGGAGGAGAAGCGCAAGTACCCGGGGGAGGAGGAGGAGGAGGAGGAGGAGGGAGGAGGAGGAGGAGGCGGAGGAGGAGAAGGAGGCAGGAGGGGGAGGAGAAGGAGGAGGGTGAGGAGAGGAGGAGGAGGAGGACGAGGGGAGGAGGGGAGGAGGGGAGCGCCAGTTAACCACGGAGGAGGAGGAGGGAGGAAGGAGGAGGGAGGAGGGATGAGGAGGAGGATAATCAGGAGGAGGAGGAGGAGGAGGAGCGCCAGTACCACGGGGGAGGAGGAGGAGGAGGAGGAGGAGGAGGAGGAGGAGGAGGAGGAGGAGGAGGAGGAGGAGGAGAATCAGGAGGAGGAGCAGAAGGAGGAGGAGGACGAGGACCACCTGAGACAACGGCGGCTCCGCACCTCTGCCGACTGCGACGGTTTGAAGCAGCGCGTTGGGGGGGGGGAGGGGCCCCACCTGCTCGAGACAGGAACCAGCAACAACAGCCGGGACCTGCTCCAGGGCGGGGGGGGAGGGGGTGTGCGAGGGCCCGCGCCGATCGGCCAAACCAGGAACAAGAGAACGATCGCCCGCCCCCATTTTGTTCCCAGACATGCGGCGTCCTGCTTTTTGTCAGCACGGCGTCCCCGGAAGTCCAGACCCTCTCCCAGGGGTCGGTTTTTCATCCTGAGTCGTTTCCTGACGGTCCCCGGGGCTCCGCGAGGGCCCCCTAATAGGGCCGAAAATACCGAAAACCTACTGAAAACCTGCCGCCCTCATTTTTTTTTACGACGCGATCATGTCTGGGTTTCGGAGCGCCGGAGCTCCGGGGATGAGTATCCTTGAACCGATCCCCATCCCCGGCGGCGTGGCCTGGGCCCCACTGGCCGATTTGGCCCCCTGGGTGGGGATATAGGCCGTTCCCTTCGGGCTTCGAGGGTTGTATCCCCAACTGGGGTGGTAAGTTGGTGGGGATCTCGAAGGGGATGGCGATAGTGATGGGGAGCGGCGACACGATGCCGAGGGGAGGATTTAGACGCCCGAAATGGGTACGGAAAGAACGGGTACAGTGCCCAATCACAAATGTTGCCCCAAACCAACAGCGGCCGCTGCTGAGCAGGGCGGCCTTCTGTCTAAAATGGACACAGGCCGCGGCGACACCGACGGCGAGTCCTGTTCGAAATGCACAGGAACTGCTGTTGGGCATTGTACCCATTCTTTCCGTACCCATTTCGTTCGTGCCGAGAGGGATGATGAGGAGGAGGAGGAAGAGGAGGAGAAGGAGGAGGAGGAGGAGGATGGAGGACCAGGAGGAGGAGTAGCCAGTGGAGGCAGGAGGAGGAGGAGGAAGAGGAGGAGGAAGATGAAGGAGGAGGAGGCGGAGGAGGATGGGGAGCGGCAAGACGATGCCGAGGGGAGGAGGGCCGGGGGAAAACCCGCAGCGCGCTCCTGCAGGCGCGGGGCGCCGCCCGGCTCGCCGGGCGGGGCCTCCAGGCCCTCGGGGAGCTCTTCCTGCCCCGCGGCCCGCGGCTGGCGGCGGGGGCCCCGCCGCGGTCCTCATTCGTTTCCTCCTCGTCACGACCTCATCGTCTTCCTCCTCCGACTAAGGGAGAATAAAGCAGAAGTGCGGGTAATAATACTTAAAGGAAAATACTAAGGAAAGACATCAACGAATAAGAAGAAGTTAGGCGTTAATAATAAGAATAGAGTAAGCGAGGTTAAATAAGAACGAATAACACTAAGTGATGGGGTAGAAATAATATAAGCAAGTGACGTACGCAATTGAACGGTCGGGGAATGAAGAATAAGATAGAAGTAAGAAGACGAAGGGTGGTTTTTGTTGCAAGAAGAAATTAGGTGCAACTCACGTAAAGAACGTAAGTTCGGGGAACGTACCGCAATCCTACTTCCTACTCATCCTCCTCCTCCTCCTGCCTGCGGTTTCCTCCTCCGTCGTCGGTTTCCTCCTCTCTCTCGGTTTCCTCCTCCCCCCCCTCCTCCTCCTCCTCCTCCTCCTCCTCCTCCTCCTCCTCCTCCTCCTCCTCCTCCTCCTTCGGTTCCACCTCCTTCGGTGCCTCCTCGTCACGCCCCTCCTCCTCGTGCCTGCCTCTGTCGGCCGTGTTGGCTCGATATCACTGCAGGCTCAGGCACCATCGCTGAAGACGGGGGCCACATCTGCAGAGATGCGGATTTGCAGGATCCTCATCCTTGAGATGAGGACCCGTGCGAACCTCAAGAAAAGATGAGGATGGGGTGTGCTGGGGGCAGGAACAAGAGGAGGGCAGTCCACAAGAGACCTTCCACAGGACGTCCATGGATATCCCAGACATGGTCGCGTCGTAAGAACTTCGGGACGGCGATTTTTCACTCTTTTCGGCCCTTGGGGGCCCTCGCCGGGCCCCGGGATCATCAAAAATCCACTCAGGATGAAACTCCGGTCCCTGGGAAAGGGTCTGGCCTTCCGGGGACGCCGTACTGAACAAAATCAGGACGTCGCATGTCTGGGATTTCTGGTGTGGGAACGTCACGCCTTCCACGGCAGAACCATGGAAGCCTAAGAAACCCAGAGCACCCTGGAGGCAAGCAGGGCGCTTCTTGGCATGGGCCTCCACTGTAGGAACAAGGCAAGGCGACACCAGCACCACCGGGGCGAGAAGATGCGAGAAGCCAGAGGGGGCTCGCCTCCGTTGTTGGTGTGGCCTCCCCCTCTCGCCCAAGGCGTTCCCAGCCTCCAGCTCGGGGAGGCATCGTGGACTTCCTCCCTGTCAAGGTGGCCCCCTCTGGTGTTTTTTTTGTGGTGTGTTGGTGGTGTGTGGTGTCGCTTCTCGCTCTCTCCGAGAGGGGCGAGCCGCGCGCGCGCGCTGCTGCTCCTCGTTGGGGATCTTCTGACCCGGGTCAATCCCGACCCGGGCCAGCAGGAAACCAGAAACTGCAATGCAGGAAGCAAACGACTGCACCGCAGGTCTTCGCAAAACCCGGGTCAGCCAATAGGCGCGGCCGCCTCGCGGCCACGAGCCGCTCGCTAATCCGGGTCAGCCAGAGGGGGTCTTCGCAGGATCCTGCAGGATCGGGCGCCCTGGCTGACCCCCGTTTGCACTGACCCCCGTCTCGAGGCTCCCAACCTCGGGTCCCCGGGGGCCTGCCGTGGGGCATGCTGTGGGGCAGCAGCCTCGGCAGCGGCATCCGCAGCAGCAGCGGTCCCTCGTGCAAAGGCCGGGGCGCCACGCCCCTCCTCCCACTGATCGTCGTCCTACTCGTTCTTCTGCCTTGATCGGACATTTGTCCTCCTCCTCCTGCTCCTCCTCCTTTTGCTCCCTCTCCTCCTCCTCCTCCTCCTCCTCCTCCTCCTCCTCCTCCTCCTCCTCCTCATCATCATCATCATCATCATCATTATCCTCCCTCCTCCTCCTCCTCCTCCTTCTCCTCCTTCTCCTCCTCCTCCTTCTCCTCCTCCTCCTCTTCTTCCTCCTCCTCCTCCTCATTCTCCTCCTCATCATCATCCTCATCATCCTCCATCATCCATCATCCATCTTCATCCTCATCCTCGCCCTCCTCTAGCTGTACACCCACTCGCTCCTCCCCCCATCCCTCATCCCTGCTTCCTGCTTCCTGGTCCGTCCTGCCCCCCCCTCCATCTTATCTCCGTCCTCCCCCATCCATCCGTTCTCGCTGGGCCCCGTACTAATGGATTCCTCCCTTGCTCCTCCGTCCTGCCTCATATCGCTTTCTTCCCTCCCCACCTCCCTCTCTCTCTGCTCCTCCTCCCCCCGCTTCTGCTGCACCGCCCTTTCTCATACATAGCACATGCTTGTCGCACAACAAGGCGTGTTGGCAAGGCGGGTCGGACGTATCGTTCGAGAGATCCTCACCGCATAAAAAAACGCAGGCCTTCTGGGGGTGCGCCAGGCTGTGCATCTCTCTGCTGGATCGACGTCCTGTGTTATGTGTGTGTGTGTGTTGCCTTGTGGCAGTCCTGAGCGAGGCATCCAAGAGCGAGGCGTCTAAGAGTGGGGGCGCAAATCATGGACCAAGGCATGTGCGCGCACGAGTGTGAGCCATGGAAGGCATTGAAAAGAAGGAGAGGGGGCCATGCAATCTGGGAGATGTCATGGCCCTGACCATGATGTCCTCCCCCCCTAGTCCCCACCCTCATCTTGGACGCCCCAGATGTCTCCGTGTCACTGCTGTCTGCTGTGGGGGCACGGGGCCGTCAAAGCAAGCCACGCGGCGGGGGGGAGGCGTCAGATTCCTGGGCGCTCCAGGCTGCCCCCACGCCTCACGGCCAGGCGGTCCCCAAAGGGTCTCGAAGACGACCCCGGGAGGCTTCGAGAAGGGCTTCAGGAGCGCAAGCTGGTCGAGGATGGCCCCAAAATGCCCCTAAGATGGCCCAGGAGGGTCCCAAGATGCTGCCGCTGATGTGGTTCCAACATGCAGTGCCTCCCTCACGTGTTGCTCCCAGTGTGTTCAGAGACGGCCTCAAGGTGGCCGCTGGGGCCCCCAAATTTGGGGACAGTTAAAAGTGAAGAATACCCGCTGGTCCCTGGACCTCTCCCAGGGTGTTCTCTGACCAAAGTTTAGGCGAGTCCAACGGTGGGGACGAGGGCCTCCCAGGCGGCCCAAAGGGGTGAAAACGAGACCGGACTAGCGGTAAAGGAGGATGCGTTTCCTCCTCCGAAGACTGCCCAAGCCACGGTGGCCCCCGAAGGCCTCGAGAGGCTTCCGACATCATACGATGCGGCCCCATGCAAGGCCTAACATTGTGTCACTAATGGCCACGAGAGGGCACACCCTTGGGATGCCAGCGGCCTACGGAGAACGGGTCCTCCTCATTCTCCTCCTCCTCCTCCTCCTCCTCCTCCTCCTGCTGCTCCTCCTGCTGCTGCTCCTCCTCCTCCTCCTCCTCCTCCTCCTCCTCCTCCTCCTCCTCCTCCTCCTCCTCCTCCTCCCCCTCCCCCTCCTCCTTCTCCTCCTCCTCGTCCTCCTCCTCCTCCTCCTCCCCCTCCTCCTTCTCCTCCTCCACAATTACTCAATATGAATACTACTCTCCCTCTTCCCCTGATGACGTGCTGGGAGTGTTCGACCCCCCCCGCGTACTGTTTTGTACACACAGGATTCCTGGGAGTTGGGTTTTCGCTTGCATTTGTTTTCAAAATGCTGCTCTCGCTGAGGCGCCGGCCTCATTTTCGGGCCCCGCTCGTTCCGAATCGTGCTCCCGCTGCAACGCTGGCCTCATTTCCGTGCTTCCGCTCGTTCCGAATCGTGCTCCCGCTGCAGCGCTGGCCTCATTTCCGCGCTTCCGCTCGTTTCGATTCGTGCTCCCGCTGCAGCGCTGGCGTCATTTCCCGTGCCATGCCACGGCATGCAATGAAATGCCAGGTTGATACTACGCTTTGCGGTGCTCTTCTACGCCATGCCATGCCGTGCTCTACAATGCATCGCGTACCCTTTCGCGATCATTGCCCTGCTCGACCTCCGACTGTGCGAGTAGAGAGGGGATCTACGCCATGGTAAGGGATGGGAGGGAGGGGATATACGCCATGGTAAGGGATGGGAGGGAGGGGTACGCACCCAGCTTGTCCTCCTCCTCCTCCTCCTCCTCCTCCTCCTCCTCTTCCTCCTCCTTATCTTCTCCAGCTCCTCCTTCTCCTCCTCCTTCTCCTCCTCCTCCTCCTCCCCCTCCTCTGCCTCGTCCTCCTCCTCCCCCCAAGGGGGAGGTGTACTTTCAGGGCCTCCCCCCAAGACGAGATCCTCATCCTGAGTCGTTTTCTTAACGTCCCCTGGGCCCGTGGAGGGCCCGGAGAGCCCGACAACGGCGCAAAACCTGAAGACCCGTCTCCCTCAGGACCCCATGTCCCCCATGTCCCTCGGGACCCCATGTCCTCCTTGGGCGCGAATAGATCGGAGGCGATCAGTGTGGGGGAGGGGAGGAAGATACCCGTTTCGGGCCCTGACAGCCTCCTTCTGGGCCCTAAAGGGCCCCTCAAAAGGGGCCCCGAATGGCCCCTTTAGGGCAGCCTTCGCTGTCCCCCCCATCTAGTAGGAGGAGGAAAGGGTGAGGGGAAAGAGGAGGGATACGTAAGGAGGAAGGAGGAGGAGGAGATGGAGGTGGAGGAGGAGGAGGAGGAGGAGGAGGAGGAGAAGGACGAGAACGGGGACGAGGAGGACGAGAAGGAGGAGGAGGAGGAGGAGGAGGAGGAGGAGGAGGAGGAGGGGGAGGAGGGGGAGGAGGAAGGGAGGAGGAGAGGAGGAGGAGGAGGAGGAGAGAGGAGGAGGGAGGAGGAGGAGGAGGAGTCGCCCCCCCATCGCGCGTCCCCCGACCTCCCTGGAGCGCTTCTCTTCTGGCGGCCCCTGAAAACCGCCGCGCGGTCTCGCATGGAGCCGCGCGGCTCCGCGGCCCCAGCACGGCTACGAGAGCCCCGCGGAGGCCCCGAGACGGCCCAAGATGACGGGGCCCAGGCACAGAGAGAGAGAGAGAGAATGAGAACGAGAGAGAGAGAGAGAGGAGAGAAAACAAACAAAAACATAACAAACAGGCACATATCCCAGGATCCCCAACTATTTTCCACATTCCCCAGCAAGGCTTGCCCAAGGGGCCCTGGCTTGGTAAAGCAGGTATGGTGCCTGCGGGGTGGCACGCTGCCCGCTCCCCGGAGGTTCCTCGGCTTCCTCGGGATCCTCAGGTTCCCCGCCAACCGCGCCTCCTATTGCTACGTTGCCGGGTCCTCGGAGGTTCCTCGGGTTCCCCTCTCCTCGTCCTCCTGCCTCCTCATCCTCCTCCTCTCTTTCCTCCCTCTCCTCCTCCTCCTCCTCCTCCTCCTCCCTCCTCGTCCTCCTCCTCCTCCCCCTGTTCCTCCTCCCCCTCCTCGTCCTCCTCCTCCTCCTCCTCCTCCTCCTCCTGCTCCTCCTCCTGCTCCTCCTCCTCCTCCTCGGAGGTTCCTCGGGTTCCCCTCCGCCACCACACCAGACTCGAAGACCACTGTGGAGTTCAGCTGCGCGGGCCTGCAGAGCTCATGTCGTCGAGTTCGCTCAGGGTTCACTTTCACAAGGTAATCTCCGAATTGGGATCGCGCAGGGTTTCTTTTCTGGATTCTCGTCTTCTCCCCTACTGCCCATGCTTTCCAATGTTGCCCCGGCGATCGCCGATTATTTGTCTCTGTGTGTTTTCCCCCTCGTGGCAAAGAGGAACCCAGAGGCCCCCCAGACGCCAGAGTGCTCCGAGCTGGCTCCAAAGAGGGCCCGGGTAACACAAGCGTCTCAAGCCGCTCTTGGGTTTTGGGCAGGATGCACCGGGCCCCGAAGACAGGAAAACCCGGAATCGAATCGTCAAGTCGGATCGGCGATCCCAAGGGATCGGAGAGAGCAAGAGGGCCCCCCGACGGCTCCAGGACGGAGTCCAGATGGCTCCAAAGCGTGACATGCAGTCCTGGAGGCTCCAGGGGTCGGCGGATGTGGCGTAAGCCTATAAAGTCGGATCGGCGATCCAACGGATCGGATCGGATCGGATCGGATCGGATCGGATCCGTGGGATGGAGAGGAGGAGCAGGAGGAGCAGGACGAGGAGGAGGAGCAGGAGGAGGAGGAGGAGCAGGAGGAGCAGGAGGAGGAGCAGGAGGAGGAGGAGGAGGAGGAGGAGGAGGAGGAGGAGGAGGAGGAGGAGGAGGAGGAGGAGGAGGGGGGGGGAGAGGGGATCGGCGAGCATCGGCGGCCAGAAATCGGGAGGAGGTCGGAGGTCGGCGGAGGTCGGCAGGCCAGCGGGGCCTTCTCCACCGCGCCATCGGAGCGCAGCAGCGGGATATCCGACGTCGCATATCGAGCCGGAGTCGGGATCCGTCGAGGCCGAATCGGATCGAACCGGGGGGGAGGAGGAGGTGGGGGGGGAGAAGGAGATTAGATTAGACTCTGCGCTGCGCGCCCAATCCGCTCTATCTCAGGACATTGATCTGCTTGGCCAACTTCGTGTGGCCTGGAGCTCGACCCTTCTCGAGCGCCCTGAGATATTCCGAGCCCGTACGTGTGGGGGCCTGGCATTCAGACAAGAGCTTGCCTGTGGCGCGATAGTGGTCGGTTCCGAGCCCACCGCACCTCGAGCAAGCGAAAATCCGCTCCTTCCTCGCCCCCGCCCCAACTTCCCACCACCGCATAGTGTGAGAGGGATGCACAGAAAAAACCTCCCCTACAACGCCCCACCTCCCGCGGGGCACTCGGCGATGGGGCCAACAATCAGCGAGGGGTTGCAAGGGGAACGAAGCTACTGAATTACGGTACCCTTACCCCTAGATGGAGGCTCCGCGGAACATGTACGACAGCGCCACTGACGACGCAGACGACCTTTGACTCTGGAGCTCTCCAAGAGGTGGGCCGTGCGGGATAACTCCGCAGGTAAATCCTACTTCTTGCTGAGCGGTCCCTGGGCGGCAGCTCTGGAAGACTCCCCCTCTGGGCGGAATGACGGCATCGTAGCCAAGATACCTGTCAAACGGGCGCGGATGGCTTTGGCCTCCGCCTCGAGCTCCAGGAGGGAGTCAGCTGCCGCACTCGGGACCTGCGCGGCTGGTGAGAACTTATCGGCCAGCCCGTCAGCCAGCTCATTGAATTGATACAAAGCCTGTAAATTGTCTGACGCTCGATCGAACTCGGACCTGGTCGCGTGGCTCGCGACCTTCACGACAAGGACGTCTCGGGGCCCCCAGAGCTCTCGGACGAGGTGCCAGAGGTCCCGATTCGTCTTCGGCCTCCAAAGGGCCTTCGAGCGCAGACGGAAAACGCCTCGCTGGACGCAGGCGCGGTCGGTGACATATGTCAACGCTCTGCCTGGGGTGGCCAAGAGGGCCTCTTTGAGGGCAAACAACTCGCCTCTATTATTGGCTATACAGGTCCAGCAGCGGTGAAGGTCGGTCTCGGGCTCAACCTCACAACGGGGACACAAGATGGAGTCGACCTTTACCCCTGCTTGGGAGAGCCGAGCCTTGGGCCAGAAATCTGCCGTCATGACCGTGCTGAGGGCACCTCGAAACTTGTTTGCCCCTCTCTTGGCCAACGCACGCATCATGTTTAAAATATCCGTGGTTTCAGCGCCCTGCTCAAGGCCCCCCCCATTATAATGTTTGGCAGCCTGGGCGAGGAGGAGAAGGAGGAGGAGGAGGAGGAGGGGGATGAGCCCTGCCAGGATCGCCCCGAGGCTGCCAGACGTTCCCCCAGGAGGGCCAGAGGAAACAGCGCGGGGTGGCCACGAGCCCCCCGCGCTGCTTCTCCCCCAGCGTGGCTTCTGAGAGGGCGTGTCCACGAGCCCTCCAACACAAAAAGCCCACCCAAACCGCGCTCAAGGCTGAGGGGCCCAGGGACAGACACACTAAATGGGCACAGCTCCCAGGATCCCCCATAGTTTCATATATTTGCTGGGTTCTCGTCTTCCCCCCCCACTTCCCATTTTTCCCAGATTTTCCAAGGGAGGCGGCGATCACTTGTGTCTGTGTTTTTCCCCCTCCTGGAAGAATCCCCCCAAAACAGCGCTCAAGACGGGGAGGCGAAGAGGCCTTCGGAGCCTCTTCCCCAAGATCCTGCGACCCTTCGGCGTGCGTGCGACGCTTCTTCTGTTTGAGTCGTTGCCGTCGCCGCCGTCGTCGTCGTCGCCGTCATCGTCGTCGTCGTCGCCGTCGCCGTCGCCGCCGCCGTCGCCGTCGTCGTCGCCGTCGTCGTCGTCGCCGTCGTCGTCGTCGTCGTCGTCGCCAGTCCCACGAAAATTGAAGATCAAGGAAAAGGAGCGTCGCAGTTAAGGCGAAGAGAAGACCCTTCGTTTTTCCCCTCCTGGCAAGGGGTGCGGAGGGTGTGGAGGGCGGGGGGTCCCAGTTCAGAATGCCGCCCCCCAGGGGACCCGGCGGGTCCAAAGGGGGGTCGCCAGTGGAGGTCCTGGAGAGGTCCCGCCATCAGGGTCGCCGGCACCGGCGGCAACGCCTTCGCAATATCACCCTCCAAACCCTCGACTTACTCCTGAGAGACCCCCAGAGACCCCCAAGACCCCCCCCCCCACGAGCCCCAAGGGGCCCCAAGAGGCCAACAATATGCTTCCAAGAGGCCCCCGAGATGCCTTCCGAGAGACCGTGCGCAAGAAGCCTCCCGAAGCGGCCTCTTGTCCACGACCCGGCCACGGCGGCACTGGCAGAAGACCACCAGATGCTCCGCGAGGGAAGCTCCAGGCACCCACCAGCAAGGATGTAGCTGGCATGCGCGCCGCCTCGCGGCTCTCGATGCTGCGCGCCGCCTCGCCAGACTCCCAGGGAGCGGCCGTGTGCGCGCGACACCTCGCAGCTCCTGAGCATGCCGCCGGTGCGCGGATGCCCCGCTGGTGCGGAGAGGGCTGGCATCACTACGGAGAGCGTGGCCCGTCGCCTGCCTGCCAGAACGCCCTTTCATCACGACGATGCCCCCGACAGGGGCCCCGCCCCACGGGTGGTAAGACCGGGCGTGGTGCCGTGCACTGCTTGTGGATATTGTGGCTGGTCGCCTTCGTAGGCGCTGCCGTCGCCAGCCCCCTTCTCCTCCTCGTCCCCCCTCTCTCCTTTGTGTCGCGTCGTCCTCCTGCGGTTCTTCAGTGTCCCCCTCCTCGGCCACAAGCCGCAGACCCGGAGCCGCCTTGTCGCCCGTCGTCTGTCCCCTCGTCGTCGCGCCGTCGACACGCCGACCCCGCTTCCGCGGCTGCGCGCTCCTCCTGATCCCGCAGCTCTTCCCGATCCCCGGCGAACGCCCTGGCCCCCGCACCCCCACCCAAACCGCGTATAGGTCGAGCTCCCTCCGCCTCAGGACAGGTCCGCCGCCGTAGCGCGCATGCCAGAAGTTCCACACGACCTCTGGGCGGAGGGCGGGCGGCACGCGAGGACCGACTGCGAGAGCAGGTCCATGAACAGGAACGTTCGGAGCTCCGCGCGGAGTTCCTCCTCCTCCTCCTCCTCCTCCTCCAACCTCCTCCTCCTCCTCTTCCTCCTCCTCGTCCTCGGTCCTCCTCCTCCTCCTCCTCCTCCTCCTCCTCTTCCTTACTCGCCGTATCTTCCTTCTCCCTCCACCATCCTCCCTCCACCCTCCTCCCCCTCCCCCTCCCTCTCCCCCTCCTCCTGTGTTTCCTCATCCATCCGCCCCCACTTGGCTCATGGCGGCTTCCCAAGCCCTTTATTCTACCGTTTGCCCCCCCGCATGCCTGATTAGAGCACCTCGCCTAGGCAAGGTTTCTAGATGGGCTGGTGGGGTCACGCGCAACTGTTGCAAATCTCGAACATTGCGTTAAAAAGGTCTTACGCGACTTGACATAGAAACCTTACGCGGTGGCTTACGCGGGCCGCCAGCTCGGCAGGCCATATTGGGAATCAGGGCGCTTGCGCGCGACCTTACGCGAGACGCAAGGACGACCGCCTGTTTCAGCGTCGCTCACATCAATTCTGATACGAGGATCGCATCCTCTTTGGATGCCCAGACGAACTGCTTCGACAGAATGACGCCAACGCGAGTGAGCACGGAGCAATGTCGAGACATGTGCGTTGGAGGCCGCCTGCAGCGGAGTCAGAATGCAACAGACCCATCTTCCCCTTCAGGGGGGGGGCTTACCACTCCGCCTACCTCTCCCCAGGCGTCCCGACGGGGTTGATGTGAGGCGTCATAGCACACAAGTTGGACCTAGAAGGCTTCGAGGTAGCCCAAAATAGCTCAGACCAATCGTGCCGAGTCGACGTTATCGCGTCAATGAGTTCCTCCAGGGCACCATAATCATGAAAACGCATCCAGACTTTAATGTTTTCGCTGTGTCGCCCTCTGGCCATGGCAACGTGAGAAGAAGATACAACTGCATAAAGATAAACTGCCAAAGGCCCACGCCGGTTCCTTGGGTTGGTGCAAGACCCCTGGCGGCGCCTCCTGCGCAGATCAAAAGAATCCGCAAGAACCTCCGAACGTTTATGTCTACGGGGTTAGTATCCTTCGGAAGGCGGCCGCAGACGCCTCAACTGGGCGCAAACGGGACCTGAGACGTGCCGAGGCGACCAGGGATGCCGAAGACCCCGGGGAAGATCCAATCCGCCTCCCGCGGCCTCCGCAAAGGTCGCACTTCGCCGCCACCCTCCACGGGTCACCACCAAGGAGGCCGCCACCCCCACCAGGCCACGGACCCCTGGCCCCCCAGAAGCCCATCTGGACTCCTAAGGACGCCCAAGAACGTCCTCAACCACCTGGAGCTCACGAGCGGCGAACACTTTTTTGGTCGGCGGGTCGGGAGCGGGCCCCTTCCAGTTTAGAGCCAGGCGGGGCGCGCGAAGCCCTAATTGGGGAGACAGGGCGCGGGCGGACGAGCGGCGAACACGTCCGTACGGTAGCTCGGCCACAAGAAAGCTCCCACAAGACGCCCAACCTTGAGCCCCCAGAACGTCCATCGATTTTCGCTATGGGGACGTCACGCCTTCCATCGGAAACCATCGAAGCCGAAGAAACCCAGAGCACCCTAGAGGCAAGCGAGGGGTTTGTTGGCATGGGTCTCCACTGTATCTGCGCCCTCGCGGTTCGGGCGGGAGGCAATGAAGGGGTAACCCAAAGGGGGGGGCGAAGAAGGGAGCCCTGAAGGGGCCCTTGAGGACCCCTCTTGGGCACGAGCTGGCTCTAGAAGGGGCCCTGAAAAGGTCCTTTGAGGGCCCTTTCTTCCCCCCCCCCCATGTAGGTCACCCCCCATGACCACCCGTCGGGGATGGACAGACCCCCCTTTAGTAAAACGTGGTTGAGTGAAAACGACCTGAGGCCCAAACCTGGCGGGCGCAAGCCTGGAAAATAGCGGCCACGGCGCCCTCTCGAGAACCGAAAACGGACAATTCACTAATCGACGTGTCACTGTTGGGGGTTCTGTCCACCCCCGAACCCACCCGAGCGGTCTGGACTCCGGCGCGCCATCCCGCGGATGTACGGTCGCACGGCCATGTGCCGCGCGGGGAGCCTCCGCGACAAACAACACGCCGCGCATCGCCGCGGGGATGCGGCCCAAACGCCCGGCCCGCGAGGCCGCGGAAACGTAACCGTAAGCATACCCACCCCCTTCCCACGATCCACATGGCCGTCCCCGGCCAAGACAGTTTTGGTCAGCGGCGGGGAGCGGCGGGGTCGAACCTCATTATCGCCAGGGGAAGTATGCATCGTAGATCGGATATTCTTATCATTGCTACCATCATCATCATCACCATCACCATCACCATCACCATCACCAGCACCATCATGATCATCATCATCATCATCCTCATCATCAGCAGCATCAGCAGCATCAGCATCAGCATCAGCATCATCACCACCATCAGTATCATTATAATCATCAACATGATCATGATCATGATCATCATCAGCATCATCATCAGCATCAGCATCAGCATCATCATCGTCATCATCACCATCACCATCACCATCACCATCACCATCATCATCATTATCATTATCATCATCATCATCATCATCATCATCATCATCATCATCAGCATCATCATCATCATCATCATCATCATCATCATCATCAGCATCAGCATCAGCATCAGCATCAGCATCAGCATCAGCATCAGCATCAACATCATCATAGTTATCATTATCACCGTCATTCGCCTAGTTCGCGAGGTCAAGAAGCCTCAGGCGAAACGCAAAATTAATTATTTCTGTGAGGCTGTCTCAAACGAAACGCCCAATGTGTCTAACTTCCCCTCCCCTTCTTCCGTCCCCGCAACAAGTGTTCGAAGATTCGCTCTAACATTATTTTTTATGGATTCCTCATCCTCCCGCCCCTCCAGGGAGGCTCCGCAAGAGCGGGCACGCTATCGTTATACCATGACGCGCCCCGTGCATTCGTACACTCCGAAAGACTCCATTCGCTCCTCCTCCTCCTCCTCCTCCGCCTCCTCCTCCTCCTCCGCCTCCTCCTCCTCCTCCTGCTCCTCCTCATCCTTTGTGTTGCGACCTGCCGAGAAAAGTGTATCGTCCCGCCGGGACCCCGAACTTTATGATCCCCACCCTGTGATCATCGGGGGCATGCGGTCATGCTTCTCTCGCCCACGGCTCGGAGGCGGACGCCACACGGCCGAGCCTCTCGCGAGGCGACGGCGCGCAGCCTGCTGCTGCCTTCCGGGCGGGCCACAGCCGTAAGAACTGGCACGCGCTCTCGAAGACGAGGCGATCGGGCGAGGACGGCATCGGGTGAGGACACGTCGAGGCCACAAACCTTACCCCCCTGAGATCCGACGCTGCGGAACAACTGCAACATCGCCTAAAATCAGGACCGGAACCAAGACTAAGCTGGGACGATGGTAAAATCGGGTACAGACACATCGAGACTCTCGGAGATCCGGCGGCTCTCGAGGACGTCTCGGGCGCCGCGGCCTTCTCAGAGCGTGCCAGAAGGCTCTGAGCGCGTTCCAGAGCGAGATGGAACGGAGTCGACCTCGTCCTAGCCCCGCCCACTATCCTGCAGCGTGAAACATGCAGCCCAAGGCTGCGCAAACACCGGACGCAAGCCGACTGGCTAGAACGGCGGCCACGAAGACGCGGGGAAGAGGAGGAGGAGGAGGAGGAGGAGGAGGAACAGGAGTTTAGGTGCAGCCATGGGCGAGAGGGGTGGCGGGACGAAGGCGGGAAAACGGCGCACCATGGCCCGAGGTACAGTTCTGCGCGGGCGAGGGGGTGCCAGGGGACGTGCTGAGTGGAGAGAAAAAGGGGGGCACTGGGAGAAATCCCTTCCCAGGCCATGACTTCCACCACACTCCCCCCTCTCTGCAGCCAGGCTGCTGACAGAAGGAAGGACCAGCCAGGCTTTTGTCGGGCGTGTCCCCTACAGAGGGATTTCCGACGAAAAATAAAAAACACCCAACAGTACCCCAAAAAGGTCACAAAAATACACCCAAAATAGTCCCCAGACTATTTCTGGACTATTTTTTTGACCATGTTTGGGTTTTTTTTGTCGTCGAAAACCCTCCTGTAGGGGGACCTGCCCGACTTCAAGCTAGGCACGAGGCCAGCCCTTGGCCACAGAATGCGCCTGCGCGCATGACGAGGGCTCGGGGAGAGCCGTCCCGGAAGGACCTCGGGAACGTCGAGCCCCGTCCGAACCCAAACTGTGCCTCATCTTTGAAGGGGCCCCAGGACACACACAGAAATACACACAAATGAAACTAGTCCCCATCTTTCCCCATGTTTTCTGGGTTTCTGTCTTCCCCCCCACTTCCCACATTTTCCAATCTTCTCTGTGGGAATCGAGGATTAATTGTGTCTGTGTGTTTTTTCCTCTCCTGAATCTTAGCGTCTTGGCTTGGCGGCGCGCCCGGGGGGAGAGCGAGGAGGCGGAAGGGCTTCTTAGAACCCTCGGAAGACCCCCAGCCCCTCTGGGGAAGTTGTCCGAGCCTTCGCGTAAGGCCGACCACCTCGGCGGCTTAGCTGTCGCCTCGCCCGTCGCTCTGTTTGGTCTTCCCGCGTCTCCTTTGCCAATTCGTCTCTGCGTAGCCCGCTCTGACCTGACACGCCGCCGGCGCGCCCGCCCGCGGCCGCTGACTAAAAAAGTAAGGCAGACCACACTTCTCGGATGGCGCGCGCGGGCCTCCGAGACGTCCCGCCGCCTGCTGAGGAGGCCTCCTCCCTCTCACTTACCCCCCCCTCGCTCGCCGCCGATGGACTGCACAGTGGAGACCCATGCAAAGAAACACCCTGCCTGCCTCCAGGGTGCCCCGGGCCTCCTGGGTTTCGATGGTTTGGGTGTGGGAGGCGTGACGTTCCCACGCCAGCAACCAGTGGACGTCCTGGGGTCCCAGGGCTGGGTGTCTTGTGGCAGGTTTCTGGTGGACTGGCCTCCACTGTAGTCACCGCTCCTCTCATAAGCGCCCCCGAGCCGTCGAAGGGCGGCCGCCGGGGCCGCGGCGGCCTGGTTCACCCCGCGGTAGTCCGTCACCGGGTCCCACTGCTCCCTGTTGCCGGGCGTAGGCTTGATGCGGCCGGTGTGCGGGTCCACCTCGGCAGCTGCGGGCCCTGTGATGGTGCTGCTGGCGCCGCTGGAAGAAGCTGAGTGGAGGAGAACAATCCCTGAGGTCCTGGCATTGCAATTTTTTCACAGGAGGGCGTCGTCGCTAAGTTTCGGGCCCGGGGTCCCTCACAGATCGATCCGGCTCTAAAAATGATGCAGAAAGATGGGGTCCGGGGTTCTGATCGTGATTTTTTGCGACGTTGCAATTGTCCTGCAACGTCGGATCTCAGGGATTATCGTGTTGGGAAGACGGGGTTTGAAGATGAAGGGCATGAGCACTAGCATCTGGATGCAATGAACGGTACCTTCGGCCGCCTACGTAATGATATCCTCATTTCTCCCAGCGCTATCCTTCCAAGCCGATAACTGTCTTCCTGATGGGGGGCGGGCCGGGCGGGCGGACAATAACTAGCAGGTCGGGCGGGCGGGCCTAAACGGCCGGATCGAGCGGGTGGATCGTTGAAGCGTCAATCCAATATGAATCGCAAGGATGTTTCGAGCGACAGCGCGATTCTGAAGTAAGTCGCCCAGAAATCCAGAGCGAGAGCTTGGGGGCACGGCGCCACAAAAAAGGGTGGGGAAGTGCAGCGCAAGGGCGCGATTCCTTTATAAACTGTAAGAGAATTCCGCGCGAGAGCGCGATCTTGAAATCACTGTAGTTGAAAAACGAGAGGGGCACCGAAGGGGGGATCAACAGCATTCTTGAGAAATGATACCTCAACACCAACAACCACACCAGAAACGTATCTCCTCCGACGCGGCAGTGCATTGCTGAGGGTCACGACGGCACGTTGGCAATGAATGTTGCGGGTCGCGGGTGACCACCACGTGTGGTGAAACGCACACACGCGCGCTCACACGCACTCACGGACACACACGCACAGACACAAACACACACACACACACACTCACACACTGTGAAAATGCAACCCTGGGTGATTTCCAAGCGACGCGTATGAATCACAGAACCCACCATGTCAGCCACCATGGGGTGCAGACCAGAAGCAAGCAGTCCATTGACCGCTTGAACTGAACACATGCAGCACAACCTGGTTAGCCAAAGTGCGCAAGACATGCTGCGTGCGGAACGCAATACGTTTCGAGAGTCACCCCGCCCCACCAGGCGGCTGTTGTCCATCGGACCTGGAGGAAGGGTCCCCCGCGGGCCGACAAATGTCTTCCAGTCCTGCGCGGGCGGCGGAAGACGCGAGGGCGAAGGGGGGAGGCGTGCGGAGAGAGCAACGAGAGGGAGCTGAGAAGCGGATGGGCTGGACGGCAGGGCAAGAGGCGCAACCTGGGCGGACGTGGATGAAGCGACACGGAGCGCACCGATCCCACTGCCATTGGGAGATGCTTTCGCTGGAAGAGGCTGACGGGCGTGGCCAACGGCGGATCAGCGGAGGGGGGTACCACGTCTGACAGAGTTTCGCCGCCATGCCCGCACGATAACGCAGGTTGCCTGACACCGTTTATGGAGTTCTTCAGCAACCGCCCCCTCTCATCGATGGACGCGTGGTCGGATAACTGCTCCCCCCTGGTCTTGATTCCCAGCGCCCCGTCCGGCCTCAGGACGTCTCCGAGAAGGCCCAAGACCGCCCCAAGACGGCTGCAATGTGACGACGGCCAGCCGGGGGCGGCCCAGCGGCCCTGCCCCAAGGCCGGAAATTCCAAGGTGTCCCCGCGAGGCCCCGAAGAGATGACCAGGGAGGCCTCCAGCGGGACCTCCAGGGGCGAAACGACAACGACAAACCCAGGCTCACCGGCTGCAGAGCGCGTCGGGAAAGCTCATCGAGCCCCAAAGAGCCCCCCCACACACACAGTCCTACACGGCCACACGCTCTGCACCTCTGGTGGGGGCTCAAGTCCGTGAGAGCGAGAATGACGACGCGAGCGGCACAAGTTGACAGCGCGAGAAGGCGCGCGCAGAATTCAACAAACTCGCGCGTAAAGAGTGGTCGGGGAAGCCGCGATCAAGCATCACCTCCCACCAAAGGGGGCGCGACAGGAAACGCAACTCACCTGGAGGATGACTCTGAAAACTGAAAGAACAACGACTGTCGTGTCCTGCAGCCACCTCACGTCGATGAGGTACCAAATGTCCGCCTCTCCGCTTGCGCGCTACGGGACATGCTCACCCTGCTCGTTCGGTGAAAAAGGCAAGGATGCACCAATGTAGGTAGGGGAAGCCACAAGATAGGGAGGACAATGACAGAGGCACCAACATGAGATGGAGAACGGACGCCTGCAAGCCTGAAGGGTTTATCACGGTTCCCTATCAATATACACCCCCTCCTCCACTACGCCGGCGGCAAACCCGGAATCATGCCAACCCCATGCGGGCCATCCCCCTCTCCCTGTGCAAAAAAAGTTTAAATAAGAAACAAAAAGCAAAAACGCGCTCTGTCTCTACATTTGGAACATGCACGGCCAGCTCGATGCGGCCCCCCCACCATCCCTTTCAGAAATCAGTGCTAATTGCACTTTAGGGCAAAGTCTTGAGTCATGTTCGTGAGGCCCGCGAGCACTTCGTATTGTTTTTGACAGGGACGGTGGGGGTGTCAGCATTTTCCCTGCTGTGCGCAGGGCTACCATCCCTGACAAAGTCCAAACTAACTGCACCTCGCGGCTATCACTGCCAACTGGTTTTTTAACAAGAACGGCGGGGGTGGTGGCGCGTGGCCTGCTGTGCGCAGGTCCCACAGACAAAATGATGGGCAGTGGTTTTCGACAAGCATGGAGGGGGCCGAGATGTTTCCCGATGTGTGCTGTCACGTGCGCAGGCGCACTGACGCACTCTGCACGTGCCCCGAACGTGGCGCACCCGGCGCGGCTGGAGTGTGTGGCACACCTGGCGCACTAGTAGCGCGAGGCGCATCTTGTGCACCAGGCGTGCCCAAGGGGTGCCTGGCGGGCGTGGCGCCCCTGGCACGCGAGGCGCAGCTCGCCCAAACCTCGCGCACCTGGGGTCGGCTTCGGTTCCCAGTAACTGTCCATCCAAAGACGACCGCTGAACATGATCAGGCTCGGGTGTTACTTATGTGCTGGGAGGGTGGGTGGGAGTGAGCTAGACGGCTTGCGGGCGGGTGGGTAGCTTGACCCCTCCCCCTAGCCCCTCCCCTAGCCCCTCCCCTGGATTTGGACGGGATGTTTCGCCAGACGCTGGATCGTCCAAGACGGCCTCGGCGAAGCCACACTCATTGATCGGACAAAGGTTTGGGCAACAGTGTGGCCTCCTGGGGGGGGCTCAATTGAGGTGCTCCCCTCCTGTGGTCGATCTCCTCCAAGATAGCCCCCGAGGCTCCCAAGGGTGCCCCAAGAGAGCCTCTAGAGGTGCCCAAGAGGCACAAAGAAGCCCCCAAGAAGCCCCCAAGAGTCTCCCAATATTCCTCCAAGACGCCCCAAGAGCCCCCCCCAGAGGCACCAAAGACGCCCCAAGCGGCCCCAGCGAGAACGCCAAAATCACTGTTGGGAGGCCCTGGTTCAGCAGCCCCTCACCTTTGATCGATCTCCTCCAAGATAGCCCCAAGATGGCACCCGACCCCCAACGGGTGCCCCAAGAGGGCCCAAGAGATGCCCAGGAGGCCCCAAGAGGCCCCCGAGAGGCCCCCCAAAATGCCCCCAAGAGGCTCCCAAGAGACCCACAAGAGGCCCCAAGAGCCCCCCCAGAGGCACACAAGACGCCCCAAGCGGTCTCGGCGAGAAGGCCAAAATCAATGTTGGTACCAAGGTGTTGGCCACGTGTTGGCCACCTAGAGGAGGCCCTAAGTAAGGAGCCCCCCCTGCGTTGATCGATCTCTCCTAAGATGGCCCCAAGATGACCTCGGAGGCTCCCAAGGGTGCCCCAAGAGGGCCACAAGAGGGCCCAAAGATATACCCAGGAGGCCCCAAGAGGCCCCCACGGTACCCCCAAGATGCCGCCACTGGGCCCTCAAGAGACTCCAAGAGGCCCCCGATACGTACCCAAGACACCCCAAGAGGCCCCAAGAGACACCCCATGGACGCCCCCACAGGTACCCGAGACGACCAAAGACGCCCCATTGGTACCGAAAACTGCCAAGAGACCCCCAAGACGCCCCAAGCGGACTCCAAGTACCTCTCGAACGAAAGTTGAAGAGACCCCGGCAGGCATCCAAGAGGCTTCTGACCTGTCTGTTTGCCCTCCTCCGCCCCCTCCTTGTCCTCATCCGCCTGTTCCTCCTCCTTCCTCGTCTCATCCCCCTCCTCCATCTCTCCCTCTCTTGGTGCACGACGCCTTACCCAGCCCTCAATTCCATTGCACGATCCTTCACGTCCCTGATCAGGACAACTCGCCTGGGCGTCGTTTCTGGATGGGCTGGTGGGGTGGCGCGAAGCGTCTAGAATTTGACTTCAGACGAGGAAAAGGGGCATCAAGAGGAGGGGGGGCAGGGGAAGGGGCGGGCGTCGGGGAATCAACCCATACCGCTTCCCGACCAAACTGGAACGAACGAGGCCGCACAGGCAGTGGCGCACAGCCGTGCAGCAGAAGGCTCACGGCCGTCCGCACGCGGGCCTCCAGCAGCAAATCACAGCTCCTATCTGGAAGGAGGGGATCTCCCCGTCCACGAGACGGGCCTGCAGCCTGTCTACCCGGAGGTCTGGGGACAGGCCTTCCAGGCCTTCCAGGCCCGCCCGCAAGACTCACGACAGCACGTTCCCCCTGCGTGCGCCTTACAAGCAGACGATCTGATGCCACGGGTGACCATCATAGTGCGATGCCTTCTCTGTGGCCACGCAGAACCACGTTGCGACCTGCAGTACATCAGCCGTGCCAACGTGGACGTGGACACTACCCGAGTGAGACTGCCCGTCGCTCAGGAAGGATTTCTCGACGGCAGGCGATCCCATTCGCACGCTAGTAGTCAACTTTTTTTTGTTATTCGGCGTTTCGACATGTGGCGGAAGGGGAGAGATTGGGGGGGGGGTCTCGCTCAAGACCTCTGCGTACTGCGACTGCTTGCAGCAGGGCGTCCACTATGGGGGAGGCTCCCCCTGCTCGAAACAGGCGCCAGAAACAGCCAAGATCTACTCCATGGAGGGGGTGGGGGGAGGGGGTGGGGTGCGAGGGCCCGCGCCGATCGGCAAGACAGTGAATAAAAAACATCATCATTCGCATGCTTATACTGGTACAACTCGTTTCAGATTCATCGTATCAGTTGTGATGGTATGATTTGGGTTCATTGTAGTTTCCCAAATCGCACTCGCACCTGCTATGTGCGTGTGCTGCCGCGGCGGGTGACATTTACATCAGTGGCGTTTTACCAGACAATCGGGAAGCGCACAAGTGGTCTCCAAACGGCGGGTGAGCGTGAGCCAGGCTCCTTCCCAGTTCGTCTCACGGCGCACGCCTTGCGAAACAATACCCCTGATCATGCACGGTGCCCTCTTTCGCAGTGCGGCGTGCTTGTCTTGTTGCTGTGTTGTCTGCTTTCTGCAAGAGCCTCTTCTGCAATTGACTTGCTGCGCGACGTGCTGTTTCCTGAGATGGCCACATCCGAACCCCACTCCCACCGACCAACGATTATCCCGAATCGATGGCAGGCGGGGGCAGAGGGTTCGGATGCCGCCACGTGCTCAACGAATTCCGAACACGACCCCCGCCGCCCATCGAGCTGCCTGAATCGTTGATCGGCGAGGGTAGGGTTCTGATTTCGCCACCGAGCTCTGGGCCTGCCGCGAGGAGCCCGGACCCGCGGGGCCGCGATCGCTTCAGCCGCGCGGCCAGCCACACTCTGGGGCCCGAGCGAGTCGGGCCGCACGGGCAAAAGCCTGCGCGGGACCGCCCGCACGGAAAGGCCATGGGACAACCCACGGGACAGCCAACGGAGCAAACACGGGCGCCACCCACGGGACCGCCCACCAGACCAAGCACGGGACAACCCACGTCATCCTCCTGCTCCTCCTCCTCCTCCCTCCTCCTCCTCCTCCCTCTTCCTCCTCCTCCTCCTCCTCCTCCTCCTCCTCCTCCTCCCTCCTCCCTCCTCCTCCTCCTCCTCCTCCTCCTCTCCTCCTCTCCTCCTCCTCCTCCTCCTCCTGCCTCCTCCCTCCTCCTCCTACTCCTCCTCCTCCTTCCTCCTTTTTTCCTCCTCCTCCGCCTCCTCCTCCTCCTCCTCATCCTCATCATCATCACATCATCACCACCACACACCACCAAACCACCACCACCACCACCTCCATCATCATCAGCATCATCATCCATCATCATCATCATCATCATCATCATCCTCATCCTCATCCTCATCCTCATCCTCATCCGTCATCATCATCATCATCATGGCTCATCAGCATCATCTCAGCACTCTCATCATTATCATCATCATCACCTCACCATCACCATCACCAATCACGATCACCCTAATCTCATCATCCATCACCACCATCATCTCCATCATCATCATCATCACATCCATCATCAATCATCATCAATCATCATCACCATCATCATCATCATCATCACCATCAACCATCAGCCTCCATCATCAGCATCAGCATCAGCATCACATCAGCATCAGCATTAAAAACATCAGCATCAGCATCAGCAATCAGCATCACTCATCATTCATCATCAATCATCATCCTCTCATCATCATCATCATCATCATCATCGTCATCATCATCAGCATCATCATCATCATCATCATCATCATGCATCATCATCATCATCATCATCACATCATCATAATCATCATCATCCATCATCATCCCCCTCCCCCCTCCCCCTCCTCCTCCTCTCCCCCCTCCTCTTCCTCCTCCTCCTCCTCTCCTCCCTCCTCCTCATCCTCCCTCTCCTCCCTCCCTCTCCATACCTCCCTTCCTCCTCCTCCTCGCTCCGCCGCCCTCCTCCTCCTCTCCTCCTCCTCCTTCCCCCTCCGCCTCTCCGCCCTCCTCCTGCTCCTCCTGCCTCCTCCTCCTCCTCCTCCTCCTCCTCCTCCTCCCTCCTCCTCCTCCTCCTCCTCCTCCTCCCTCTCCTACCCATGGTAGCGGTGCTGTGACATCGGCCCATCACCAATGGCCGGGCAGATCGCGCGTGCCATGTGCGGCCTCGCGGGCGGGGCGCGCGGGCGAGCTTGCGCGCAGGCTCTCGGCGAGCCTCGGGCTTTCCTCCCTTCCTTCCTGGCGCCACGGTGGACAGGTCTCCAAGTAGGGGGCCATATGCGAACCCTACCCCTGCCCCCCACGATTTCTGAGGGGGAGGGTGGGGTTCACGAGCGAAGTGAACCCCACCTCCCCCCTCAGAAATCGGGGGGGTAGGGGTAGGGTTCGCATTCGGTCCCCTACCAAGGGCGAGCAGGCCACGATAGCAGTGGCGTCCGCTCTGGCCACTGTCCCCGCGGTCAAGCGACAAGAAACCAGGGGCGGCCGCGCAGGCCCCTCACGAGCTCCGACCACAGAACACCGACGTACAGACACACAGAGTGGCCCACAGAGAGCGGGTTAGGGAGGCACCAACTATACACCAACACCGATCCCGGCCAAGATCAACCTGGGCCCAGGATCGGTGTGTACGCCCTCCCGCCATGGGCAGAATGCATATGCACCGATCCTGGGCCTAGGATCGGTCTGGGCTGGATCGGTGTAGGTGTATAGTTGGTGCCCTCCGACGGGGTGGCCGCAGACGCCCTAACGGCCTCCCCGAAGTTCAGGGCGAGCCTCGGGCAGGGTCTCGCGGGCGTGCGCCGGGGCGGCCCACGGGTCGGCCCACGGGTCGGCCCGCTCGGGGGAAGCAAGGCTGAGGATCGAGGCAGCGCTGACAACGGCGCCCTCGTCGTCTTCGTCGACGACGACACCCTCCTCGTGTGCGGCAGCCCTCGTTCTGCTCGCTTCCTCCTGCACGCACGAGCACCATCAACCGCGCACCGTAGCACGAGCCTGGTAGCACTGAACCATCAAAACCCCTGAGATCCGACATTGCGAAAGCAAATGCAACATCGCAAACAATCAGGATCAGAATCGTAACGACTCCATCCTTCTACTACGTTTTTCGAGCTGGGTCGATACTCATGATCCTGGGGCAAAACGACAGACGAAAACGCTCGGTGAGATTAAACCCGGATCTCAAGGACCGTCAACAAGCCGTATGCGGGCCTCGCTTGTGTCCTGCTCCCGGATGAAATTCCGCTCCTCCCTCTTCCGCTCCTGCCGGGCACACGCTGGCATAAACTACGGATCCGTGGAACTGGCGCGCAGGCGCCAGATCACGGCACGGGAACAGCAGCCTCCGAAACACGAAGCCAATGCCGCCGGAATTGGCGATGAGAATGCGCCGATGCCAGCTGGAAACGGGACCCGCCGCTAGTCCACGCGCCTGGATCCATGTGCGCGCTTCCTTAGAGGATCTGGAACACGCTAGGGACGCCTTTTCCCCGTAATCATTGAATATCGTTCAACCGATCCCCATCCCCAGCGGCGTGGCCGGGGCCCCGCTGGCCGATTTGACCCCCTAGATGGGGATATAGGTCGTTCTCTTCAGGTTTTGAGGGGTGTATCCCCAACTGGGGTGGTAATTTGGTGGGGGTCTCGAAGGGGATGGAGATGGGGATGGGGACCGGATACACGATACCGAATCAAGATCGACGTTTGCGTTCCGTTGTGGGCGCCTTTGCTACGTGCTCAAGTCTAGGATCGGACCGAGGCCAACCAACCTGCTCGTGTTGCTCACGATTTCCGTGTGGCCTTCTTACGCTTTGGGTAGCAACACACTGCAGCATGCCTGACGTCCACACTCCACCGTGCCGTTCTTGGAACGTCTAGTCGAATCAAAAGAGACAAGTGGAATACGGAAGACGGCTATACATATATTCTATCGATTTACAGATGTATACATATATATATGTATATATTACATGCGTGTATGGAATACATAAACACATGTATACGTGTACAAACATTAGTAGATCAATCTCGTCATAGGAAATAAAAACGCCACCCACGCTCTTAAGAATTACTAAATGCGCATCCTCCATCCTGGGCGAGGCTCGAGGCTCTCAGAAACCTGGGGCGCCTCTGGCGCCGTCCAGACCTCCAAGCCCGAGCGGAGGCCCGGAGGCATCTCGGGGACCCTCCCGACAGTGGAGAGGGGCGAGGGCGAGGACGCGGACGGCGAGGACAAGGACGAAGAGGGAGAGAAGACACCCGTTCGGGTGTGTCCGCCCCCCTGGCTCCCGTCGGAGCGAAAACTGGGGCCCATGGCGCGCCCACTGCCAGGAAGCACGCGTGCATGACAATGATGCGAGACCTCCTTGTGCACATGGCATCGAACAGAAACGCTTTTGTAGAACGGTGGAAACGGAACATCACACATTCACTGTGACCGTCCAGAGTCATGACAGGAAACACGTGCGCTGCCCGCTCTCAGAACTGTGGGGCGGCTGGACGTCTCTTCCCCGATTGCCCAGTTCCTGGCAGGATGTTTGCAGCCCCGTTCTGGAACAGGAGGAAGGACATGGAAAGCAGCAGCACGAATGCCAATCTTCATCAACTTGCCAGTGAAATCTTGCAAAATGGCAGCAGTTTCAGAATATAGGGGATCCAGCGCCGTGCATTTGAAGCAAATCCACCGTGGTGGCCACCATAATCAAAGGCCGGCTAACACCTGCGTAAACACCGCCGGCTCGAAGCACAGTAACAAAAATATGCATACACACATATACACGTGTACAAAACTGGCTGGTCATGTCTGTATGTCTGTATGTCTGTATGTCTGCATGTATGCATGTATGTATGTATGTATGTATGTATGTATGTATGTATGTATGTATGTATGTATGTATGTATGTATGTATGTATATGTGTGTGTGTGTGTGCGCCGGCCCCCTTGCGGGGCCATCCGGCTGCGAAGATTAGGCTTTCATGCTTCCTGTGCCACTTCCAGTTCCAACTCTCGAATGTTACAGTCCTGCTTCCTGCCTCCTACTATAAATTGTTGCTGAACGCGCGGGGGGGGGAGCCCCAAGCTAGCCATTTTACTACAGCTGGATCGCGATGTCTGAATTCCTGGGGGGGGCGTGGGACATGTGTATGTGTATATATATATATATGTGTATATATATAAATAAACATATTTATATATATATATATATATGTGATACTCGCGCCCCCGAGGCCATACCCCTAGCAGATTATAATAGATTCGCGTCCCCGAGGCCATAAACCCTGGTAGATTACGCAATGTGTTCGCGTATTCGAACCCATCAACCTGTGTAAATTACGTAATACGTTGCGTCCCCGAAGCCATAAACCCTTTGCTAAATTACACAATGTTTGCGTCCCCGGGGCCATTAACCTTAGCAAAATGGAAAATACTAGCGTTTCGGAAGCCATCTAACGAAATGTTCGCGATTACGCTTGCATTTGCGACTGTCGCTCCATCCAATTCACCGTTCGCGATCACGATCGTCAGCAGCTTCGTGGTGCGAGCCGTCAGAGTTCGAACGCAATGTTTAAGGTTTGCAATGCAGGCCGTACAATAAGATATTGGCCTTCGCGTGAAGTCCCGACACTGCGTCACGTCAGCGTCCCGACATCCCCACACAGCTCTGGCAAATCGTGACATATAGCTCGTCCAACAATGCTCGCATCTAGGGGTTCGTGACTGTGACCCACTCGATGCAGGTCCGGCTGGCTAAATGCCGCCCGCTCGCCGCCTTTGTGTTCTGATGTAACCAAATTCAAATGCTGGTCAGGCCGGTTCTTGTCTGCCAATCGCACCACATGGACCCCCCTAGTAAAATGATAATAGATTCTACCATCCCCCCGGGACGATCCGCCCACTTTCGTATTGCAGTCTACAGACGGTTCTGCCCCATCGCCCAACCTAAATATGAAGTCAAGCCATCCCAGCCCAATCAATGTCCCCCCACCCCACCATCATCTGCAACCCGTACAATGCGCGCGCACTCGTTGATCAAACTTCATCAGTTTCCCAAAAAACCTTTGCAACACATGAATGAAAAGCGCACGCGCGCGTCGTTGCGCGCGCATGCACAAAAATCCTTCGAAAACATTTGAACCAGTCAAGATTTCACAAATGTCAAAATACATTGTTTGAAAAACAAGGGTGTCGCAATACGGATGCTCAAGCGAAAAACATGCGCGCGTTTTTGCCAATTTTGAAAAACTCAATAAGTTGTCCGTGTTGTTTCCTGGTGGAACAAATGACAAACGTCCATACATGCTATCAAACGGGCTCCGCGCGCGCGTGTCGAAATCGATCGAACGCCGTTGCGCGCGTGCCGTATGTCAAAACCGAATGTCCAACAACTGACATACACAACCAAATGGTTTCGCAACAACGGCTGTCAAACAAAAGTGCGTTCGCGCCGTTGTGGGCTCGCGAAAAAAATGGCAACACGCTCACGGAATTCATCCAAGCAGACCTCTCGCGCCGCATGCCGACATCGTTCGCACGCCCTTGCGCGCGTGCTGGGGGGGCACGATCCGCCTCTAGCAATACCATGTGGGCCACTATCGCGCGTCGGCCGCGCGCGAATTCCGAACTCCTTCCAAAACGTACATCACCGACGCGGGGACGCCGTCATCGCCGCGGCGTGATCAACATCGGCGCCTGCACTGGCCGCGCATTCGTCGTTGACAACATCGACACCCGCATCGCTACTACCATCATCGTGTTT